ATCTCACCAGATGAGGATGGATGAAACTCGTTGTACTGCAGCCGTTTGGCTTTTATACGATATTCATGTTAACGCAGCCCACGAGTCCTTCTTCCTCGTTTCGGGTGAAAACGTTCTGGGCTTTCGTCTACTATCCGGCTCTATCTTACTACTTATATAGACTCAATTGAGCCAAAAAATTAAAAATTAAAGCCTAGAAAACTCGATATAGAATGGTTTGGTAAATTTTCTTTCATACTGTTCCTGTTATTTTTGCTCGATTGTATGAGAATGCATATTTGTGTGTGTTGGCGTCTATATGCAATACGGTTCCTAAATCACACTTTTCAAAGTTTAAATTTCCCATTCTGATCCTCAAGACCTAATAACCAAAAAGAAAATCTTTGACTGAGACTGCCTAGTTTCGTAGATAAATATGGTTGAGATAATAAAATACGAGTTTTTCACGTATGATAATCAAGTTACGAAACCATTTGTCCTAACCTTTCCGTCAAGGTTTAGAACAGGTTTAGAACAGGAGATTTGACCTTTGACAAGTCTGATTTAGGAACCCTATTGCATATAGAGGCCAACACACAGAAATATTCATAATCATTCATTCGAGCAAAAATAACAGGACCAGTATGAAAGAAAATAAACCAAATCACTCTATATAGATCTATCTAGGCTTTAATTTTTAATTTTTTGGCTTGATTGAGTCTATTTAAGTAGTTAGATAGAGCCGGATAGTGTTCTTGCTTTAGTGTTAACGTGAGATTATTACAAGAATGAAACCCAGCTCTGATGATGTCCATCATATGATGGACGAATATGGTATAAAAGCCAAACGGCTGTAGTAAAACGACATTCATCCGTTCTCATCTGGTGAGATTGACTAAGGAATCTCTTCTTCATGCACGTTCATTCGAAATGAAGGTCCCACTAACAATTAACTTGCTTTTCAGTCTAGCAATCCCCTGGTCTCTCCCCGATTGCCCAATGATTTCATCATAAGTCATTAATTGACATCGTTGCCTATGGTAAGATTAGAAAGTATAGTCGATTTGCGACTCACGCTTAGTGTCGGTTCCACTAATGCTTTCAAATCCGGCTCCAATACTCCGTCAAGCAGAATAGGTTTAGTTTGGGTATGAGTATATTTTGATACTATCAGTTATTCTTTAATATGAATTCAATGACTCCAAGTCGCTTAAGAGATGCTAAGGACTGATTAGGTGATTGAGTTAGTAATTACCTGATTTAAGCATATCAAGTGTATGCGAAGAAAGTTTAGGTTTTGAGTAAGTTCTTGTTTCATAATTGTTGAGCTTACTTTCATTTCGAGTTAAAGTGTCTGATGAAGGGATTCGAAAGTCGATCCCACAGGAAACTGACGGCAGATTCGTCTTGATCAGCTGTCGAATGGCTTTAGCAGAACATTCTTGTTGACTCTATCCGAGGCAATCTCCTTCGGTTGCGAGAAAATGAGCTAAGCTTTTGGCCGTCGTTTTCACCGGAATCAAAGGAGACCGCCTTGGAAACAGCGTCAACAAAAATGTTCTAGTAAAGCCAATCGACAGCCAATCGTCAAGAGGAATCCGCCATCATCCTCTCATGGGATCGAATTTCTTCATCATATGCTATCACGCAAAATAAAAATAAGCTCAACAGTAAACAAAGTAAGCTTAGAGGTTATTTGACCTTGTCTTCGCAACTTGGTCATATTGGTAGGAAGATTTAGAGGAACGCACCTAGTCCGACGTTCATTGTATTCATCATCATTTCCAAAGTATGACCGTGGATGTGGTACATTCCCAGGCGCTTCACCGGCATCGTAAGTGAATCTTGTCACTCTTAGCACCACACAACAACTCGTCAAAGAGACAAGTGAAACCGATCCTTTGACCGCACGTGTGCTAAACAGTTGTGGTATCTCCCCTTCTGCCCTGGCCCATTCACATTTCCTATATCCTCCTATCACACCTTCACTGTTACAATGTTTACCGTTCTTATTTCAATGAAGTGTGATGTGTTCCTTTGAGCGGCATTTATGAAAAGCCTTCACACTCCACGCTGTGCTGGGAATATTAATCAGAGTCTGCCATATTGTTACACAGCCCTCCTTTCCTAGGTCTTATCACAGTCTCTCTCTTGCCCCGTAAGATCGGTCTGCTTTTTCCCTGGTTCACATATTTCACTCGATCCCTGCCACCCATTTGTGCTACCCGCCCTCCCCTGCGTCTTGGTGACTAATTCGAGGCTAAAACCTCTAAATAAGTCTCATCGGCAAGCCTTTGATACATGGATCAGGACAATGGTACAACAGACCTACAGTTAGCCAAGTAGATCCAGTCTATCCTGTCTCTATCACTAATACCAAGTCTATGACTTGCTATGCCTTAGTCTCTTGTGTGCTAACCCACAAATGTTGTAGTACTGCTTGCTTTGATTAGGTTTAATATAACCACAACGTTTGTGGGTTGACACACAAGAGACTATGACATAGGAAGTCATAGACTTGGTAATAGAGATAGAAAGAGGATATAGACAGTGGAAGCTAGAGCTATTTGGCTAAGAATAGTCGTGATTCAAGGATCACGTCTATGATCAAACATGTCTAGTGTTGGCCAAATAGCTTTAGTCTCCACCGCATCTTTCCTATTTCTATCTGTAGGTAAGTTTATTTTTGGAAAATGCTGATAATTTTGAAACCTACTCACACCGAATATAAGTAGTGCTGTCTATCTTAATGGCCAATATATGTTTGCCTCATATGGCTATAACTTTGAGTTGAGATAGCTACCCTGTAACCTGTTGCTATCTGTAGCTGTTTCGCACGACCTTTTTTTCCAGATCCCGTTGAGGTCGAAACTGGGGTCCAGTCGAGCCAGGATAAGCAAACCTTTTGTGAGGCAAGGCTGAGCCAAACCAACTGGCATTAGATTATTGTTGGAAAGACTCCCTCGTCAGTCCTTAATTCATTTTAAGTAACCAAGGTTGTTAGTTCAGAATAAGTTTTACTGATGACGTACTTTATTGCTGGCCGACCTTGCGAGCTTTCATTCTGCAAGATGGATTCAGTTAAAGAAAGTTGTAGACCGACCCCACTGAAAACCGAAGGAGAATCTTCTCGGGCTTGTGACTGCTGATTTACGCGAAGCCAATCTTAATCATCCATTATGAGTACGAAGGAAGATTTTTGAGAAAACGTCGCCAAACCCTAAACCAACAATGACCAACATTTCCAGCCCGACGTCTTGCATAGCCCTGGATGAGTTTGCCTCTTTGACGCCTGTGTGGACGTTGTAGACTCTTGTGATTGGCTCTATGGTCCCTAATTCGACGGCAGAATATGAAAGTTCTTTAGCAGACTTTGTGGTACAACCCCACAAGGAGCCCGACTCTTGTCTCGTTTGTCAGGTGCGTGTATGCGTTGCTGCCTCAACCAGTCCGACTTCTTCTAAAGCAGACCAGTGGCCGGCTCGGTTGACGCCTTGCCTGCTCCAACATGCTAGTTGCAGGAGCCCACGACGTCTTACTCATGCTTTAGTGCACACTTATGCCCTATCCACTCTGGCTGGAGGGTGTTGGCACCATGTGGTGAGTCAAGGTTGGACTGAAGAGACTGCATAGAGCCGTGTCTAGGCTGGACAAGAGCGGTCAACGAAACTCTGACGACGATGCTAACTAAGGCTCCACACGGGTCTCTGATAAATT